GAATCGGGCAGTGATTGAATAGAGCCCACATCAATTTGCACTTTATAGGCCCGGTTTCTGAAGCTTGAGCGTGCTCATCTTCTACTCAATGATGAATTTAATATGAAATTAAATTGCATGCTCAAGCCAAAAGTCTCAATTCAAAAACCTGGCTTAATCGTGAAGATACGATTGAAAATTAGTGAAATATTTTTTTCTGAGCCTGGTCAGTTGTCAGTTCAGAAATAAAATGAATGACACATGTTATGTCCATTTGGGTAAAAACGATGAGAAAATATAATTTCTTCAAGTATTAACCGTGTGGCTTCGGCAGGATAGAATAGGATCACCCCCTCTTCCTGGGAATCGTAAAAAGCGACTAAAGGACAATCTGGCTTCCCTAACATTATCTGACTAGACAGCGTCACAAAAAAGCGTGGAGAATGTAGGCCAAATCCTCCATTTGCCTCTGGTAAAGCGGAACTCCTGCAGTGGAGACCAAATGACCTGATGATGACGAGTAGGGTTTTAAAATACCTCGCAGATTTTTTGTTATGCAGAACAAGGCAGGAATTTGACCGCAATCGCAGTCTGCAGTCTAGGATGGTACATATCTGCCCTGTAAGTGCTTATTCACTCTCGCCTTGAAAAGTCCCGGATTATAGTGTTCGGGAAAGGCAGCAGCAGGCAGCGAATTCCAGTCCCTAGCTGTAGGTGATGGGAAGGGTTAAGTATTATAACCCTTCCCATCACCTACGTTTAAAAGCCTAATTATTATTACTGACGGGATTGCTAAAGCCCGGTCTGTGAGCACGTAGAATTTGGTCCAATGACCCCAAGCTACCCATCCTTATCGCTTGCGCGTAATTATATTGCTGTCGCGACTGTGCGACGGGCGCCCGCAGTGAGTGTGCGAGCGCGACAGCAACATAATTAAGCGCGAGCGATAAGGATGGGTAGCTTGGGGTCATTGGACACAATTCTACGTGCTCACAGACCAGACTATACCAATGCACCTTAATTTCGAGTTTCCGATATTTCGGCACTGTTACGAGCGCCATGGTCACTGAGTAACTGAGGAAACTTGCGGGTGAGATGTTATGGGCAGACATATCGGTCTACCCTCTTTCGCTTAAAAGCCTGATTACAAAAATTCCATTACCTTTATTTACTTATCTAGAAGAAGCATTTATTTGTTCTTGTTTTTCTTGTTTGTACGAATGAGGCGAGGAAAGGTCGCGGGAAGATAACAAACAGTTTAATTATAACGAGTTATTTTTATTTTTACCTTTCTAGAGTAAATGTTATGTTTGTAGCTTCTACACAATCGAACAATTGTCAACTTCGAGGGCTCTTTCCACGGAGACATTTAGGGAGACATCCCGTTTTTTATAGGATCCCGTTAAGCAGTACATAATATACGTTTTTAACCGGCTTCAGGTGGAAGGAAAAGGAGGCGGTTCTATATTAGACTATGTAAAGAAAGAAAAGAAAGAAAATAAATTAATTTTGGCAACAAACTCAGTCAACTAAAGAAATACAAAAAAAAATCAAACAAAGTTGCCAAAAAAGGTCACTCACTGTAACATCTTGACAGTGTAACTGCCAAAGCACAGATTTTCAGTGGGTGCCTTTTATGCAGGGTTAAAAAATAAAGCCTTTTACAGTCTAATTTTTTAGAAATCAGCAGAAATGTCATCAAATATGGCCAACTGACATAAAAATATTTTTAGTCTGTGAACTAGTGATGCGACAAAACCTCTCGTTAATCGCGAAGTGAAATGTTGTAGTACTTGCGTATCATCGCCGGGTGATCGTCAAAATACTAAAATTAAGCAACAAAGTCGCAACATTGAATGTGAACTGATTATGAAATTTTCGAGAACAGGAAACAAACTGTATGCACAGATGTAATCAAAAAGCACACTGGACAGTAAAACAATCAATGATATCCGTAAAGTTATTAAACTTCTGTTGCTTGCTGTTGCTTGCTGCGTGATTGGTGGATTTTGACATATCTGTCAATGTCATGTCAAAAATAACCAATCATGCAGCATTTGGACCTCGCGTCTACGTATTGCCATCTGGCGGATTTTTCAATCGCGAAAACCCTCATTGAAAGAAGTTTTTTATTTTCTTAAAAATAAACAATGGAACAATACGTAAGCATAATTGCATAAAAAAGTAAAATAATTTCGTTTAAATAAAACCGACTAAAAATTAAACTGACTCCGAAAAAGTAAACACTAAAAGTAGAAAAATAAATTTACGTTATCTCCAATATTGTCGAAGTTATCGCTGGAAAACTAAGCAAAGTATCGTATATTTTTTATTTAAAATTAATGAGTAATCGGAATAAGTGAATACTTAAAATAATATCGATTAAATTTACAGATTATTGTCTATGACTCACAGGTTACGGCACTGATGTGTCAGAGACAAGTCATAGACAATATGGAGATAACACATGATTTTAAACGTCAAGTCAATTTGACAATGTCACAAATTTTCATCGTCCACGTATTTTGCTAAAATAATTTGTTTCAAAGATTGATTTCAAACTTGTATAAATGTGAAAATAAAGTTGGTTTCATGGGCTTGTTAAATAGTGTGTATGATATTATGAACACGTAAGTGATTATGGTGTAATTGTGTATGAAAGTGTTTGTTTACATCTCTGCTGGATTCTAAAAAATCAAGGTATATGTATTTTTCTCTATGGTTTGCCGATTATTCCGTCGATGTGGACCGATTTTCGAAATTATTTTTTCATTTCTGAGCTCCCATTGCAGCATTGTCACCAAGTCATGGTCTGATGATGGGATCCTAGGGAAATCGAGGGCAACCTTCTTTTATATTATGTTTTTCGGCCTATGTAAGTTCATCAGAAATAATGTATAGTGAATACATTTTTCATATCGCTCCAGTTTCGTCTTTGTTTGCGCGTGAAATTTACCGAATTGCACATCAGCTGGAATGACAATCGAGCGCAACTGGAGATGAAACACGAATGTATTCTAGACATTGTTTACCAACATTTTCGGAGCCTATTCAATACAAACAATCAAATACATAATATAGATAACCTACCACATATTATTTGTGCATCTTCGCAAACATGATACGTGTGACCGCCATTACAAAAACAAGTCCATGTTACACATGGAAAAATAAGACAGGTGTGTTGTTTACGCTTATTGCGTTCTAAACCGCCACTATTGCACGACATTACCTTACGTAGTAAGGTCAATGTCAAGGTAGATAATAATAATGTAGTTTGAAATACAAATACATCCAACTGACCCTTTTTTACGAGGAAAAAATGCATTGAATCGCATACCTATCCCGCGGGGACAGGATAGGTGATGTGCCATAATATGTGGGAGTCAACAAGGCGGGTATGCCTTGTTGACTCCCACATTGTGAAAGTACTTCATGATGAGCTCTATAAAACTGTATCAACAATATCAGGGTGTCCACATTCTGGAAAGTCAGGGAAAGTCAGGGAAAAGTCAGGGAAGCTCATAGCAGTCAGGGAAAGTCAGTGAAATAGAGGGGTCACCTGGAAAGTCAGGGAAACATTGAGATTTTGTCTACCAAAACACTGTTTGTCTCCCGAAATTTCCCAGTGATTGTAAAATGAGGGATTTAATTAATTTATGCTCTAGAAAGACCTTTGATCTTGACTATCGAAGCATTTTTTTTTCAGGTTTGGAGTGATCTACATTATGACTTTGTTTTTAGTCATAATTATATTACTCCTTTTTAGTTTTTTATCTAATGAAGTGGATTGATCTAAATTATGACATAATTTTGTTCATAATTAGATTACTTTCATATAGTTTTTTTTTTCAGGATTAGAGTGATCTATGTTATGATTTTTTTTGTCATAACTAGATTATGTTTTAATAGTTGTACTTTTTTGTTTCAGTAAAATGATATATTTTCTATTGTCGATGTGAAAGTGCAACTTATAACTTATGTTTATTTATATTTTTTTTATAATTATTTATTGATTTGATTATTGAGTGCAGACTAGTGAGCAGTTCACTGTGAGTGCTATTAATACAGGGTGGAAACGATAAGTGATCTCATTCGATTATTTCTAAACTACACAAGATATCGAAAAACTGCTTACATTCGATATTTTGATCGTTCGATATTTTGATCGTTCGATGAAACGTATTCGATATTTTGATTTTCGATCATTTGTCATTCGATATGGCGTAGGTAACCCTTCAGTACCATTTTTGAATCTTGGATAGTTGCGTCAACTTTTTAAAAAAACTTGCCGCAGTAGTGTTCATACTTTTTTTTTACAAAACGATGAGTCAAAGTGGAGTGAAAGTAAAAATCGTTCATAATTTTAAGGAAATAAAATATTTTGATTAACTTTTGTGTAAAAACTGCAAGGATTCTGGGGGTTTTAAGAGTTGGGGTGAACAGCAGCACTACTTAAGTTGCCGATATAAACAGAAAACCAGGAATAATTGAAAAATTGTGGTCTTGGTAATGTAAAATATCATAAGGGGTGTCAATTTTCGTTGAATTTCATAATTTATTGTGTAAGTAAAAAAATAATTTAGATAGATTTTTTTCCTTATTTTTCCTAAAGTAGTCATGACTATGTCCATCCTGTGGCGTCGGCTTATCCTTGAATTTTGGGACACGTTGTATACATAGTTGGTCAGGGAATTTTGAAAAAATTGTCAGGGAAAGTCAGGGAAAAGTCAGGGAATTTTTTCGAACATTTGCAGTGGACACCCTGAATATATTACAGAATAAACTGCATCTATCGGAAAATACAATGTTTCCGTATTGGTACTGTTTGTAAGAGCTCGTAAAGCACTTTTAGGATCAGTAACCAGTTTTTTTTATATTTTGTATAGTTTAAAAATAATCGAGTGAGATCACTTATCGTTTCCACCCTGTTTAGTAGGAAGGAAGTAGGATTTGTGCCATAAATTACTTATTTTACTGACACAAACTATTTTATTAAATGGCCCATCTTTCTGTTCCAGAATCATGGGTTGAGTTGAACTCCGGCAACGGGTTGGCAGCCGTCGAGAACGAATACATTCGCCTCCTCAGAGAGGCACAGAGGGAGAGCCGGGACTCCTCCGTGAGGCATTCCAGGGCCTCCAGCGTTAAAGGCAGGTCAGTATCTATACGTTTATTTGCCTCAGGCTACTCATCATCATCATTTCAGCCACAGGACGTCCACTGCTGAACGTAGGCCTCCCCCAAGGATTTCCTGAATGGCCGTACGACGGCCGCATAACGGCCGTATGACGGTAACGGCCTGCATCCAGCGCCTCCCTGTTACCTTTATGAGGTCGTTATCCGACCCAGTAGGTGGACATCCCATACTGCGCTTGCCGATACGTGGCTTCCACTCCAGGGCCTTGCTGCCTCACACTTAACAGTTGGCTCGACCTTCATTGGTTGGGTTTTTCTGGCGGTCAAGCTGTAGATCCTGGTTACACAGGAGGAGAGCCGGGACTCCAGCGTTAAAGGCAGGTCGGTATCTATTTCATCATCATTTCAGCCACAGGACGTCCACTGCTGGATATAGGCCTCCCCAAGGATGTTCTGGCAAAAGCAGAGTATATTTTGTCCACAACAAGGAAGCTCTTGGGCTGCAACTCACCTGATGGAAAGTGATGATCAGGCCCAAGGTGGAAGCGAGCTTCACCCGGAATCCTCAAACACAGAGGAACTGGCTATCTTACCACCAACTGCCGGAACACAATAATCTGTTACACTGTTATGGCGACAGACTTAGGTATGATGGTTGCTGGCGATGCTGGCGGTGAAATCCTACATTCGCCAATGGTAACTTAGAGAGGATCTTACTCCTACCGTGGAGACTATTAATGACCTTTTTCAACCAAATAATGGATATTTCAGTTCAGTATCAGTAAATTAGAACAAAGCTGATAGACAGTCTATTTTCGCATAATCACACACATGGCAAGCTGCAATCAAATACGTGATTCATTAGAAGTACCCTACTCATTGATAACGGCTATCGGGCACGACCTCTCGCAGATCGAGACAGCTGGCTTTCTAGAAATGTTTTGAGGCATTGACCGCCAAATTGATAAGGCGAAAGCGTATTATTGTTTATAAAAACCTGAATTTATTATCACTACTTATTTGTATACGAGATGCGGATGAAGAAAACTAGGGTCAACATAAACACTGGGGCTTTTTCTAAACACCCTCGTTTTCAGGTCTACTTCTTGTATAGATGACCCAAACTAAACTGGGACAGTTTAGTTTGGGTCATCTATACCTAACCTAACCTAACCAAACTCATTAACAGAGGGGCGCTACCATCGTTCAACTATATAATTTTTTACATGGCAAAATTTTGAACCAGCGATCCGGTATTGACGATGGCGCCCCGCTGTCAATGTCACGGATAGGACAGTTCAGTATATTGGGTCTATAGTTCTTTCGGATTTTGCCAATTTATTGACTCTTTATGAACTGTCAAAACGCTACTCACAAATTTTCCATGGCAAAGTGGACAATCGTCATTAGGTCGCGAAGTCAATTGACAAAAATTTTTGCAGTCAATCGTTTGAGTCGGTTATAATTGCTGGAATTAAGTGTTTTTTTAAAGTAGTTGTTGATTATTGGTTATCGGTACCTATTAAGCAGGTAGGTATACCCATGATGGTCTCTCTAATGATATCATAAGGTCACTAGCGTTTGGAGTTTTCTAACTCCTCCTATGTTCTTCTGTTTAATTTCGTTGCGGGTCCAATGTCCAACGACATGGGTGGTAACTTTCCACCGGGACAAACTTGACCTTCACTGGTTGGGTTTTTATTGGCGGTCAAGCTGTAGATCCTGGCTACACAGGAGTTGCAGCGGTGGGAACGAGAGGTGGGAATAGTTTATAGCCCCGTAAAAATACGGATGAGAAAAGTGGAAGGTCATGACTGTGTGGTGTTCCTTGGCTACCTAAGCCTTTTAAGTTCAGCAATGGACGACTGTCATTGGCTGGGATACACATGATAGTACACTATTTATCACTGCGCCCGTTACAAAACACTACTTAACCCCGAGATAAGCGGCAGATTACCATTCCAAAGGTTATCAAATTGTCATTGCACAAAATAATTTGCGATTGCATGAATCCATAGTTAAGTGAAAGTGTTAGAACATGACCTTTTGATAACTTGTGTGGAAAAATCTTAAAAGTGACCTTTGTTTGTGACTTGGGAAAGTTAAACTGTCATTTGACCCGCAACGAAATTAATCAGAAGAACATTTATGTACAGTCTAATTTTTTAGAAATCAGCAGAAATGTCATCAAATATGGCCAACTGACATAAAAATATTTTTAGTCTGTGAACTAGTGATGCGACAAAACCTCTCGTTAATCGCGAAGTGAAATGTTGTAGTACTTGCGTATCATCGCCGGGTGATCGTCAAAATACTAAAAATATGCAACAAAGTCGCAACATTGAATGTGAACTGATTATGAAATTTTCGAGAACAGGAAACAAACTGTATGCACAGATGTAATCAAAAAGCACACTGGACAGTAAAACAATCAATGATATCCGTAAAGTTATTAAACTTCTGTTGCTTGCTGTTGCTTGCTGCGTGATTGGTGGATTTTGACATATCTGTCAATGTCATGTCAAAAATAACCAATCATGCAGCATTTGGACCTCGCGTCTACGTATTGCCATCTGGCGGATTTTTCAATCGCGAAAACCCTCATGACTCCAAAAAACCTACACTAAAAAGCAGAATAATAATTACTAATTACCTACTTATTTATTAGGACGAATTATTAATATTTATGTAGGTATACCATGATTGATACTTTTGGAGTCGGTGCAGGCAAACTTTACATGTTTCATAATCTTGGCACCGACTCCAGAAGTATCAATCATGGTATACCTACATAAATATTAATAATTCGTCCTAATAAATAAGTAGGTAATTAGTAATTATTATTCTGCTTTTTAGTGTAGGTTTTTTGGAGTCTGTTTTATTTTTTTTTATGTAAGCTACTTTTTTATATTTTTAAACCGGCAGACAGTGGTGAGGTGACTGAGTTTGTTGCGGCGCTTCTTCTCAGCACTTGCCAAATGTTTGTCTCGAAGCGCTGGTAGGGCAAAAAAAGAATGAGACATGTATCCTCCTTAAGAGCATTTGACGATTTTAATTAGTCTACACAAATAAAGATAATTTTTATTGGATTTGAAAATGAAACAAAATGAAATAAATAAAACATAGGGAGTAGTTCGAAGTTAAGGTTCGACGTCCCTCCAGGGCAATGCTATTGGTAGGTAATGCTTTTATGTATGTCTACTACCATTATTAGTTAGCATAGTAATGAGTACTTCAACTAAGCAGCCTCTCAAGTGCACCAGACCGCACGCAACCCAACACCGTCTGGCTCCTGCGAAATAATATACTAATACATATAAATAAATACGCATGTAACTCTGTCTGTCTCTTTGTTTCAAATTAAAATCTATACTAATATTATAAAGCTGAAGAGTTTGTTTGTTTGTTTACTTGAACGCGCTAATCTCCGGAACTACTGGTCCGATTTGAAAAATTAGTGTTAGATAGCCCATTTATAGAGGAAGGCTATAGGCTAAATACCATCACGCTACGAGTAATAGGTGCAGAGCAAAAATGAAAAATGTTGTGAAAACGGGTTTTCACGCGTACGAAGTCGCGGGCACAGCTAGTATAATACATATGAATACGCAAGAAACTCTGTCTGTCCCTTTGTTTCAAATTAAAATAAATAATTTGTAGATAGGCTCTTTTCGTGGCACTTATTTATTATACACGTCCCAATATAGCTTGCCCTAACCTACCGTCACTTTGGGACAAGATACCGACAAGACACCTCCCGCGACCCTCACCAGATCGTCTGTCCACCTAGTGGGAGGCCTACCCACACTACGCCTTCCGGCCCGTGGTCGCCATTCGAGTACTTCTCTGCCCTAGTGAAGATCTTTACGGCTAGCACGAAAAACTTTCGAGGTTGAATCGTTTGCGTATTCGAATCGCCATCAAAAGATTTAGTACGAAAACTACAACAGCGCCCTTGTGAACGTGTCGTAAAGTGAACTTAGTATGAGAAATGGTTCCACGAAACTTATTTTGAGAATCAAAATTGTCACGTATCGTTTAATTCGAAGTATGGAATTTTGGCGAATATGCAAACGATTCGAAGACGAAAGTTGTTCATGCTAGAGGTACTTATTTCATATCAAATATGTGCCGAAAATAATAAGATTTTTTGTATTCTTTCAGCCCGAAGTCTCCGCCTAACAGTCCGAACCTGGAGCCGTCCACGGAAGACGAGCTCAAGGGGGTCTACATTAACTGCTGGAGGGTGAGTGTAATTTACAAATCTTTTTCTAAACTTTCACGTTCCATTTCAACTAAAATAGAGAAACACGAGTCTCAACGCGAAATTTTTTACCCGCCTGCGCTAGAAGGAGGGTTATGTTGCTATACAGGGTGTGGTTTTGTAAAACAACAACCCATCTCAGGGGTGGTAGTATACATGAAATTAATTACAGGAAAAATATAAATAAAATTTTATTTATTAGTAAAAAACCTTGTCCCGCGTGCCCCGCTACACCACCGAGCACACGCGGCCGCCGCCCCGGGAGAGCGGGGGGACTGACCAATAGCTCGCCCGCGTTATAATACCATTTTCCTGATTTCATAGTTAAAGTATTTTTTATGACATCAGCGTCGTGTATACTACCACCCCTGAGATTGGTGTTGGGCGTTGTTTTAATAATCACACCCTGTATGAGTTACATAATGTACTCACGGCTTGACATTTCGGCTTTTATAGATGACCCACGCTGAACTGTCCCACCAGACTCAATGACAGGGGGGCGCTACCATCGTTTAACTCTATGGTTTCCAACATGGCAAAAATCGGAAGCAGCGATCCGGTATTGACGGTGGCGCCCCGCTGTCAATGTCATGGATAGGACAGTTCAGTATTTTGGAACTATATGCTGCAGCCGTGGTCACAAGCACGTGGTAACTCAAAAAATGACGCGTTGAGACTTGAGACCCTACAGTTAGTTGCAAATCTTTCTTGCTATATTTGCTTCTTCTGTAACAGACTGTGGGTACTTTTTCCATTGGGCACTCTAGGCATGGGTTTGAGCTCCAAGTAAGTTAAAGAATGCCTTGGCTCATTTTCATTACTCGACATTCGTATATCAAAGGAAACGTGCGCGGAATGTTTGCATACTGCGGTTGTTTCCAGTTAATATGGTTCCCCGAATGCTGGGTATGGCATACGTTACAGAAAATGAGCCATCAATAGGCCCGTATTTACAAAACAGTGCTCAAAACTTGTTATTGATCGTTTCATCCACGAAGACGCGCCCCAACATTATTCCGCTAATGTTTGAGTGTTATCGGTACACGCTAAATGATCCATGAGTGCACACGCACACTACAATAATGCCGCTCGGATTGCTCGGATCAAACTCCCCGCACCCCGCGCGACCGAGACCAAAACTTGGTGGGGCGCGTCTTCGTGGATGAAACGATTTACATAGATTCTCTCCTGCGATATTGAATTTTTATATTACCTGTAAAATCGATTGAGTTATAGACTAAAGCCGGGTCGCCGAGCACGTAGAATTTCGTCCAATGACCCCAAGCTACCCATCCTTATCGCTCGCGCGTAATTATATTGCTGTCGCGACTGTGCGACGGGCGGCCGCAGTGAGTGTGCGATGTAAGGACGGGTAGCTTAGGGTCATTGGGCGAAATTCTATCTGCTCGGCGACCAGACTTTAACTAATGAATATTTACCTTTTTTTTACCATTTATGTCGTTGTTTTCAGCTTGTTGAACAAATGTGTTACTTATAATATTTTTTGTCTTTTCCAGGACGATTCCAACGATTGGGTGTGGGAATGGAGTAGCAGACCTGACCAGCTGCCCCCTAAGTGAGTTAATTATAATAATATTATAATGAGGCCTCATGAAATGATTGAAAACCAGTCTACTTCATTCATTGATAGGGTTGCCATCCGTCTGGATTTGCCCGGATTTGTCCTACTTTAGATGGCGTCTGAGGAGCGTCCAGGCGGGAATTTATTTGTTGTCCGGGTATAAAAACCTTAAGTCTTGGGCCAATGCAGGGATTAAGTTTTATAAAAAATCTGTTGACATTATCCGGGTTCTGGGCCGCAAAATCCGGGGTTTTCTCCTTATCCTGGTTGCCCTTTTTACCGATGGCAACCCTATTCATTGATGCTCTACCTCTGCTTCGGCTTACGCGCGTATACGGGACATGCCCACCCGGTTACTTCGGTTTCTCTTTATTTTCTGGGACTACACAGGATGTGTATAGCCAGTAGCTTGGTGTTAAAATAGCAATGCCAGATTTTGTATGGAAGGTGGCGTCTTTTTTTTCGCGCGGCCATCGACCAAACTTTGTTTTTTGATTACAAAATAGTGTAATAAACCAAACTTACTATGGCATGTATACCTCTAAACTCAGTCTGAATTGAGTTACGAGAATTAGAAGTTTGATGATTTTACATACTAGATTTGCTTTTTGCGCGCAAGTTTTGTAAGAAATTGCAACAAAATATTGCGCTATTTTTTTATTGCGCTGATGCTACTTCATACTGATGTCTGGAGCCTTTAATGGATGGTATTGTTTGTTTACACATACAATGTCACTATTTTGTTGCAATTTCTTACANCTGATGCTACTTCATACTGATGTCTGGAGCCTTTAATGGATGGTATTGTTTGTTTACACATACAATGTCACTATTTTGTTGCAATTTCTTACAAAACTTGCGCGCAAAAAGCAAATCTAGTATGTAAAATCATCAAACTTCTAATGCTCGTAACTCAGTTCAGACTGAGTTTAGAGGTATACTAAGTTTGGTTTATTACACTATTTTGTAATCAAAAAACAAAGTTTGGTCGATGGCCGCGCGAAAAAAAAAGACGCCAATTTCCGGCATTGTCTTTTATACTAAGTAAGTAGTATGCATATTATATTCCTGATGGTGATGATTAATGTGCTTCTTCAAACTGTCTCCAGGGATTGGCGGTTCAAGCACCCTCAAAGCGCACGCGGACCGCCCTCAGCCACTTCGTCCATCGAAGTGTTGGAGCAGCAGTTAGTCGCTCCTAACGCTCAACAGGTGGGTCCCGGATTCAGTGTCTATAGGTGACAAGAAAAATGAGAAGATGGTGAGGGAGGTGACTTCGAAATTCAAGTTTTGATTGGGCAGAATAGTAAAATAGGTGGAGTCCGTGCCCGTTTGTTTCAGCCAAATGACGTCCACTGCTGGACAAAGGCCTTCCCCAAGGATTTCTACAACGACTGGTCCTGTGCTGCATCCAGACACCTCCCACGACCTTCACCAGATCGTCGGTCCACCTAGTGGGGGGGCTGTCCACACTACGTCTTCCGGCTCGTGATCGCTACTTGAGAACTTTCCTGCCCCAACGGCCATCAGCAATTTATTTATTTAAAGATAATAAATTGATCCACATTGTTAGGAAAGTTGGGTTCAGAGTCTATAAGATGTATTTTAAAAAAAGCTGAGAAGAATGGCGAGGTCCGAACCTGAGAAGTGACTTCGCAATTCTGGTTTCGATTAGCATAATTAATTTAGGTAGAAAGAAAAAATATTTATCATCATAAAACACTTAAGTTGGTTGCTTGAACCAAGTTCTGGGTCTTACCCTACAATATGCTATAGGGTGAAACCCAGAGCTAGTCATTATAATCACCGCCACCTAACTACCTAGAACCTTAATTTCGAACTCCTATGTCCTTCTGATTAATTTCGTTGCGGGTCTAATGATAGTTTAACTTTCCCCCGGGACAAACTTGACCTTCACTGGTTGGGTTATTGGCGGACAAGCTGTAGATCCTGGCTACACAGGAGGTGGGAACGAGAGGTGGGAATAGTCCCGTAACTACCTAGCATATGTCAATGTAAAGAATGGCCCAATTAAGGCTGAGTTTCACCACCTTACTTTAACCGTAAATATAACACTAACCAGCGATTTTTGTATGGAGATTGACAGACTTTGACGTTTGTCCCCGCTAAATTAACATTGATAACTATTGTTTTCAGAACCACTGCCTCTCCGTGCGCCGCACGTGCCTGTTCAGCCGCGGCGCCATCGCGGCTGTGCTCGTCACCAACATCGTCTCCTTGCTGCTCGGAGCTGGCATCGGGTGAGTGGGGGGATAGCTTCTAGTTGGGGTGAAATAGGGGTGATGGGGGATGAAAATATCTCCGAATGGGGGATGAAGATGAAATAGCGTCTAGTGGTGGGTGAAATAGGCCCAAGTGGGGGTGAAATAGCCCCTAGTGGGTAATGAAATAGCCCCAGGGGGGGATAGCCCCGCGTGGTGGGTGAAACAGACACGGGTGGGGATGAAAATAGCCCCGAATGGGGGATGAAATTGCTCCGAGTGGGGGATGAAATAGCCCCGACCCTAGTTGCGGGGCCATCGCGGCTGTGCTCGTCACCAACATCGTCTTCTAACTGCTTGGAGCTGGCATTGGGTGGGATCGAGAAATAGTCCCGAGTGGGAGATGAATTTGCCCTGAATGAAGGGTTTTCACCCTTCATGTGACGAGAAGATCGTGAAAAAGCTAGTGAAATAGCATGAATTTATGGTAAAATGCTCCCCAACCCTTAGGGCAAAAAGTCCTACGTTTGTGTGCAATAGACCTTAGGGTAAAATAAAATAGTCTGTAGGGAAAAACAGTCCCGTGAAATATTCCTCTACTACATTATCCACCATACCATATAACCAGCGTCGTGGCTTCCCTCACCGGGGGCCACGGCATATGCTGAGTGGGGTCCCATTGCGATGGGCATCGCTGTGCGACAGGGTGGCACTGCTTAGTTAACTTGCTCATTCATTGTATGTTTTATGTCACCTCTGTCTTATTTGCTTTTTTTTTTCATTTTACCTCTTTTGTCTTTTGTGATGTCCATGGCAATAAATGTTTCTTTCTTTCTTTCTTTCTTTCTATCTACATGTTGAAACCTATACTAGAAAATGACCCTTACCCTAGGGTGAAATAGCCCCGACATCAGAATAAATAACAAAATAGATCCGTCCTGTACACTAAATTTAATAAATCTAACCTTAGTTGGGGCAATTTAGTAAAAATTGCCCCAACCCTTTCAAGTCTTGATTTTTTTTATTAAAATACTGAAAAATATATTTTTTCTTTCCAGGGTCTGGCTAAGCAAGAAAGGTATGCTGCCGCCCAGACTGATCGTTCTTAACTGAACGCATCCAAGACTGCGGGCGCGGCACACCGGGTCGTCGGTCCATCGGGTGACGATGGCACACGGACAAAAAACGTAATACACGCGAAAACTGCTGCTGAAATTTGAACTCTACGCCGTTGAAATAACGTTCAGAATTGAACGGACGAAACTGCTGCTAAATCATTTTGAACTCTACGTCGTTGACATAAGGCTCAGAATTGATTGTCTTGCGATACACAACAGGGACGAAAACTGTTGTTAATACATTTTGAACTCAAGTAAGGTTAAACATTGGTTTTCTTGAGTTGAACTAAGATCTATTCAAGTAATAATGTGTCAAGTTTAGTTCAAAATATACAGTTTTTGTAAGAATGTCTGAGTTATTATAGTTTCCAGCAAAAATGGCACCTTTTACAGATGTACAGTCAGACTCAGTCAGACTCAAATAATTCGTGACACCCAAAGTAGCCAAAAAGTTCGCAACACGCTTTGTTACAATGAGGGTTTTCGCGAATGAAAGATCCGCTAGATGGCGGGACGTGGATGTGGGGTCTGACTGCTGCGTGATTGGTGAATTTTGACATATCTGTCAATGTCATGTCAAAAATAACCAATCATGCAGCATTTGGACCTTGCGTCTACGTATTGCCATCTGGCGGATTTTTCATTCGCGAAAACCCTCATTGGAATAAGGTTGTGTTGTTAATTTGGCCACTTTGGGTGTCACGAATTATTTGACGCTGACTGAACTGTAACTTTTTCATTTCTTTTCTCAAATGTCTTAAGAATATTGGATCAATTTATTTAAAAAATGCTTCATTTCAAATATTGTACAAAAAAGTCTGTGAACTGTGTTATGTCGCGCCCTTATTATGTTAGTATTGCTAACATTAACAATTGAAGAGCAAAGTAAGTAAATATTAAACATAATCTCCTCATTTCTGAAGTCGGTTAAAACGATATTTATTTTGAACTCCTTCACCTTTGAATAAAGATGTTTTTAAATATCTAGCTCGGTAAAAAGCGAGCCAAGTTCTTCAATCGTTAATGTTACGGAGATGTTAGCGAGTCGGAAATATTATTATAAAAAAAAATACAAAAAAAAAACAATGTATTGTAGATGTAGACCATTTTGTATTTTTAATACTTGCATCTTTCAATCTCTTACCTTCGCGACTATTAGACTCTAGGCTTAAGTCTATAAGGTCTTTTTTTGAATAAAGATAAACAGGTATATAGAAAAAAGACTCAAGACTTTTTTAAATTAGGCTTAAGACTAAAAATTATATAAGTCTTCGTTTTAATTTAGGCTCAAGTCTTGAAAGTCTTTATGCGTCGATACAAACCGCGAATATCTAAATATTTTTTTATATAATGCCTAGTCTAAGTATATGAATTTTACTTTGATTCTTGTCACTTATTAATATAATATTTAATTTATATAGTGACAGTTTTTAATGCGGAATGACTCTAAAAGCACGTACTTTCTGTTTTATATTATAAAGTCAGTGTCAAATAGTTCGGGACACCCAAAGTAGCCAAAACTTCGCAACACGTCTTTGTTACAATTGGAATAAGGTTGTGTTGTCAACTTTTTGGCCACTTTGGGTGACTGTACTGTATAAAGTATGAAAAATAGCTTGAAATTCCAGATTTTTTTTGTCTTTCGTAATTTTTCTCTATGTAAAATCATAGAGACCTGCCTTTCGTAAGTTCTTTAGAGTCATTTCGGTTTTTACGTGGTTTTTATTTAATTGTATAGTTCCTAGGTCAGTGAAAAGGGTTTTTATTGTTGAAAATCTGTGGTTCAAAATAAAAAATATCTTGAACAAAACTTAGACATACGACTGGCCTTATCTTAACGTACACTATAGAAGAAAACTAACGTATTTTCTAGGAATATACGATTGAATAAACACCATGTGTCTAAAATACTAAAGTAGATTTTGTATCTTTAAAATCCTAAGTATACTGTCCTAAAATGTGATTGTCCATATCAGATATTCCAAAGGAAGGTGGATTCGAAGTTTTAATGCCAAACTGCATTCTATGTATATTTTAATAATCATCATCAGGAAATTTAGTTTCCACTGCAGGATTTACTCTAATTTACCAGAGGCATATGGGCATTTGGCCTATTTTTTTCATAACTACATCTCTATTTGAGTTTCTCTAACTTTCTTCTTAGACTTTTTGTTTCCTAAAGCCAAATCTTTGGGTTTTTAAGGCGCACGGTAGTGCACCAAGCCAAGTTCGGGGTTACAACTTCAAAATTCGCCAGAACCACGTATCCACACATTGTCACGCTGTGATGTTTTATATATAAATGAAAATTTTATATGTTTATAAAGCTGGGAGCATTGTATTAGAGAATTGTAGCGGGAAGTATCTCGATTGATTTTTTTTGGTTAATTCTTTTTGTTTAACTATTTTTATAAACATTGGAGAAGATAGAAATGGAGTACATTGTTTTTTCTGCTTTATTTGTGATAAATTTTTGTAGATTCAAACGTAGTAGAAATTGTTAGCGAAAAAGTTATTTTTTCACAAAATGACGAATTTCTTCAATTGATTTGAGACTTTTTGCCGTTTTTATAAAGTTAAATATCAATTGAGCTCTATCGTTTTGTAGTGAATCGCTGCGCTAGCGACCATTTTATGAAAAATGGATAACTAATATTTTTTTATGTTTAAAGTACGTAAAAATGGTGTTTTCATTTCTTTTTCCAAATAATCTGAATATCTTCAAATATACCATAAGTGGTAATATAATATTTAGTTAAGAGTCCGCTAGCTTTTTATTTTATTGTTGAATAAAATTTTGTTGGTATAATTATGTAATAGCCACACGGGTGTATTATTTATTCACCAAAACACTTATTCATAAAAATCAAAACAGTTTTGTTAACAAATTTTGCGTCTCCTTCTGCTTCATTAAGATGAAAAGAGAATATTGTTTGATTTAAAATGATGTTGCAAAAGTGTTTTGATTTTTATGAATAACCTAGTTTGAAGCATTACTTCTAATTATTTATTCAGTTGTGTTCGTGTGACTATTATTATAATTAATGTGCTAAAATGTTACAAAATACTAGCTCCGCACAGCTTTGATTTAAAAACATCCAGATCTTCTGGGGTAAATATACAATTTCTGCAGTTTTTTTTTTACTAAACTTAAACAAAACTTGCAAAATTCACTTACTATTTCTATGATTGTAATTTTCAAATTACATACTATATTGGAGTAAATTTAACAGTTTTCTGTCAAAGAAAAAATCTAAAGAATTTTCCACTGAAACAAAATAAGCAACTTGGCTTGTTTTTTGCTCAGAAAGTTAACTTGAAGTTAGTATTTTGTGAAATGTTGGCGAAAATGATACACTTCGTTTCGATGGTGATGTAAATAATTTACATGTTTCACGTGTCATCACTAAGATAAGTGCTTAAAATATAAGAATATGCATTTTATGAAGAATCTTGTTTTATTTATTCACACAAAAATTATTCCGTTCCACAAAAACGTCAAAAATGCGATTGGTTGATTTTCGTCGACCAAGAGCATTCGGTGAGAATATGTATAAGATGACCCACGCTGAACTGTCCCGCCAAACTCAATGACAGGGGAGCGCTACCATCGTTCAACTATATGGTTTCCAACATGGCAAAAATCGGAACTAGCGATCCGGTATTGACGGTGGCGCCCCACTGTCAATGTCAAGCATAGGACAGTTCAGTATTTTGGAACTATACTACCGATACTCTGATACTACACAGTCAAGACAAGAAAACAAAGAGGTAGAAATATACAAAAGATATCGTTGTAGGGCTATCGTTTTAGCGCTCACCAGTTGGCGCCACTGTAATGTAAGGTCCTGTCACTTGCTAGTAGCTAAGACAGTGGCGCCAACTGGTGAGCGCTAAAGTGGTAGGAGGACTATCGCATTTGCACTCATCAAGATGGCGCCACTGTAGAGTAAGGTCCTGTCAATCGCCAGGGGTGCCAACTGTTAAGTATAAAAACGATAGCCCTCATTAAGGCGGTCTTATCGCTATAAAGCGATCTCTTTCAGACAACCGAAATCGCTTAGCAAAATTATCAACCGGTGGTGGTGGTACCAATCCTTCAAACAGGTTTCTCCACGGTTTCTCAATGTTTTGGAATAAAATTATA